AAATGTCACCTTTTCCAAGGCTTCCAGCGATGATCACTTCAATTTGTGGTGGGATGACGACTGTTTCCGTAACAATCACGCGGCAGCACCTCTGTCGCTGTACTGTATCCCTCAGACATAAACTCTGTCTTCCTCCATTCCCGAGTCTTTTTGTTGACATTGATCAAGCAACTCTCCGATCGCAGGAAATCTAATCCCAAAAGTGTTTATAACAGCCACGATAAACCTGTGCCACATATGGCCACCCAACTATTTCGGTAGTTACTTCTCCGATGACAGTCAAATACTTCTCGTAAGCGAGATGAACTCGAACGTTGGTACTTAATTGTTTGTGCCATCAGGTGTGTCTTCAGTAGCCCATTTCTGCACGACTATTTCAGATAAAATCGACGCAATTGCTCCAGTATCAATCGATACCCCACATCTACTCCGTTGATGACGGCATATCCATGTATAGTCCTTCACAAACAACTGTTGCATTCCGTGTTTGTACGGGCCCTTTTGGTTCATCTGAGTCATGGGCCGCATGCCCAGCTTCTAGCAGTGTCCGATTTCTTGTTAGCGTTTGTTGACGTGTGAGCAACAGCATGACCTTTCTCGCTACTAGTGTTCCCGGTAAGCAGCTAGGGACAGTTCGGTCTTATAATTAATTATGTCTGTATTCCTCGCACTTTTGTAGCAATTTAGTCCTTTTTTATCTGGCTATCGACCTTTCCCCTTGTAGCAGTTGTTCATGTTTTTTTTGGCAATTTCAGACATTTCCTGAATCTGCTTGTTTAACTCGGTCGTTAACCTCTTTCCGTCATCAACTGGGTCGGCGTGTAAAGGCTACTTGAGGAGCCGACTGAGCGCTTGCGCTGCGAGCCTTTTTAAGGTCTTGGTTATAAGCGTTTATTAAGGCCTCCAGTTCAACTGCTCCGGCTACGGTGTCGTCCAAAGTTTTGGTGCACATTCGGATAACGCGAGTGCTTATTTCGCCGTCCGCCAATTGGCATCTAGAAAATGGTCTCTGCCCATGCGGTCTCGACTGTCTGCCAAAAGGTCCACATAAACCTTGTCCACTAGGCGCCTAATGTCCTCAGCCAACTGGACATGACTTTTTGAGGCTTTTGTCTCCTGTTTCTCAGTTATGCCCCGTGCATGTCTAGTATTTCCGTAGGTTTACAGCACGCCTGTTCACCAGTCGCCGGTAGTCCCCCGTCGTTTCCTTTGGTAGACCACCTAAAATTTGCTGAGCTGCACCGGTTGGCCGTCCAAGATATTTTCCCGTCATAGCGGCCGGGCTTGATCAAGGGTCTTTCCTTTCCCTTGCTTGATGGGCAGTGCTCTGCTTGATCAGATTCTCATCAGATCAATTGACAAGTTCAGGTGAAGGACGTACCGTGGGATCAAATGAAACAGTCTTTTCGTCGCCTGGCCGTCTTGGAATGCATTCCTGATTATCGGCGAAAGACCTGGGGCTGTAGTTGATAGTAGTTGGTGGGCTGTTCGTCATTGCAACCATGTGTTTTCAGGTCAGGACTAGGTCTTGTGACACCCGGCTGATCGCGATGGCGCTCAGCGAAAACCCTTTGAGCTTAAGGTCAAGCCTAGCCTTGACCACGGCGTTGGGCTTATCGATTCGCCGAAAAAAAAATTCGCCGATAAGAAAATCCCTAACCAACTTGGCAAGGCATAATTGCGTGCACATATCGATGCCCGTACGCTGCTAGTGAGAAAGTAACTTGTACCATTCAGCGAGGCTATGCTTGCACGTACGCACGTACATGTACATGTACACACACGTACTCGTACAACAGCCATGCACACACAGTACATGCATGAGCTAGTCCGGGTCGTTCGACAGGCCACGCGGCGCGTATATCCCCCACACGCACGTACGAACACCCACACGCAGAACACAGTAGGCCTACATTTACTGCCTGATTACACCATGCGTACAAGTCCGTACTCACGTGTGTGTGCTTGCTGGTTGTGTTAGCCGTTCGTACGGACAAGGGTCGTACACGCACGTAGCCGCGTTGATTGTGGGTGCAGGGCCCGATTATCTCCCTTCGACAAAAAGCCGAGAGACCGCATTGTACAAGGCTAGGTCAAGCCTTGAAGGACATGTGGACCCCAACTGGATGGTGCAGGAAAACTGGAGATTTCTATATCCGGCTGTGCGTCCCAATCTCGATGTTCAGCTTATGGTTCAGGCAAGGGAAAGTAGCAAACTAGCCGTCTCCGAGCCCGGTGTAAATTGCACCCCGATGGGCTCTAAGGCAGCACAAGAACGGGGGTGTTGACACCCGTGCATTATTAAACGAGTTGTAAATTCCAGCCGGTTTTATCAAACTGGGAGTTGGTGTAACATCGTCCGGCTGCACAGCAGGAGTGGGAAAAACATCGGCCGGCAATACACTGATATATTGGAATTTTCCGGCCAGCTGCACACCAGGAGCTGGGGAAACTCCAGACGGCTGCACATCCGGAGCCGGGAAAACTCCGGCCGGCTGCACACCCCTGCAGGAGCTGGGAAACTCCGGTCGGCTGCACATCGTGAGTCTGGAAAATTAAACCATTGGTTCAAAACCAGATGGAGTGCAAAATCATGGCAGATGGAACACCAGCAGACAGTTTACAGCAATTTTATCTTCTTGGCCACAGAAAGGGAAAGGTCTGGCGTTATTAGTTTACCGCCTGTTGGAAAATTGGGAAATCTCTATTCCCGTACGGGCGAACCTGTCTCCCATGGACCTCCGTCAACCTTTCTGTCTTGGGTCTCGCTGACTCTCTCACGCTACTAACGTTGAATGGTTTGTTCTTGGGTACACTGTCGGAGCAGTTTGCAGCCAATTAAGTCACTCTGTATACTTCTTGTTGTGATTTTTATTTCCCTACCGACTTCTTCGAATTCTTGGTTGCACAACTCTCTGGCTGCGAATTCGGCCTTGTGTGGAAAATACAATATTTGCAAACATCAAAAAATAAAACTACCAAATCAATTTAAAATACCTTGCTGGACTGTTAGTGAATGACAGTGTTTAGCATCCTGTAAATTCATGGCACCTGGTATAGTGTCATTTTCAAGAAAAGTGATATTTTTGTATCAATTTCCAACGCTGATCGGCCGATCAGCGTTGGAAAAAACTGGTCTTTTTTCAAATACTGGCCCCAATTGACCATCGCACTTGTTTGCAATCGATTACAAACCTATGAACGGGTACGAGCCAGCTAGACTGGTTCCCCGACCTTACAATTCCCCAATGTATGTAAACTGCTTTGTTTCTTCTTATATGGAGTCGGGGAACCAGACTACAGGAAAATGATTGTTTTTCTTGGTTTTTATAGCATTTTCGAACCCAAAACCTCGAAAAAGTCAGTGTAATTATATTTGCTATATATTTCCAACCTCCCAATTCCATCCATTTCTGAAAATTACAGCAAAAGCAATTGATGATTATTCCCTTTAAGGGGTACAAACACCACGTCCAGTAGCATATAGGCCGTTATGGAAACCAAGGGAAAACATCACGTACGCTGTGGTGTTGTATGCATTGGCGGTCTATATTGGGACGCTGCGGGCGCGTCTACTGGGTGAACAGGCGTGCCACTGGGTCTCTGGGCAGTTAACTTCTCCTGACGGTCTACTGGGTCTCCTGGGCCGAATTCGGGAATATCGGGCAAAATATGAGACATGTGGGTCTTTATCTAATTGGAATCTTATTGGAATCAACTTCTATTCGTAAGTCACTGTGTATTTTACTGGCTCGGTTGACACCACTGCCAAATTAAATTCTAAACCTAACTGTCATCAAAATGAATTCGTATCCCGCCGCTGCCACCAATGTAACGAAACTTGGGATGGGTGAAACAGCAGATTGGGGAAATACTAACATAATGTGAACTTGCTTTCAACGATGTTAGTGTGTGTTGTGGCAAGGGTGGGTTTTTCAAAAATCTGACCAGTAACGTCATGCATCATTCGAGCGCACTCTGTTGGTAGGTGATGATGGTCTTGTGGCATAGTCTTAAAGTTGCATATTTTAAAATATATATCTAGAGAACCATATGTCTGATACTATTGAAACGTTGTACATGCATAGTCAGGGACGTGCTATTGATAAAAAAAAATCATAATGCGGAAAAGCCCTATGCTCTGTTGCAAACAGACATAGATCTCTAATTCTCACTCTTTTCGTGCCAATGAAACCGGGGAAAAACGCCACCTTGATGGATCAAATGACTCGAGACAGACTTTACTTTTATATAGACCCTGTATTGACCCTGTGCACAATGCACAATCACCCTTCAAGGTTTACATATGGAGTTGAGTTAAAGGAGACCAACGGGAGAGTCTCTTGAATGCATCGCCAAAGGCACCTGGAACTCATTCCATATAAGACACTAATGACGAGTTTGTGCAGATTCAGAATAGAATAAGTCTATATAGCCCCATACATGTGGCCAATTTACTGGACTACCTCCGTAAATAAAGGCTACACTTCCCAAAAACACATGTACACAATAACATGTCGAACTTTGTTAAATTTTGATTTTCACATTTTTATAGGCTTAGTTTGTATTTATTTTTGCTTTAGAAGCATACTCACCCTCTTCATAGGCTAATCAGAAAGTGCTGCCTTTTTCAGATGTCTAATTTTCGTGAAATTTCATGTTGAAATTATGATATGCAAACGTGTGCAAACGAATCTGGAAATTTCACTAAAAATAGACATCTATTCAACTCTTTCTGCAGCACTTTCTGATTAGCCTATAAAGAAGTTGAGTATGCTTCTAAATCAAAAATAAACTGCAAACTAAGCCTAAATGTGAAAATCAAAATTTGACAAAGTTCGAATTTGTTTGTACATGGTGGAAGTGTGGCCTTTATTTACGGAGGTAGTCCAGTAAATTGGCCACATTATGGGGCAAGAATTAGTCATACATATGCAATTCTGTCCCACTTGAGCCCTCAACAATCAGACAGCGATCATATCTAGAGATGCTTCACTCACCTTCTTTACCCTGTTTACGCGGTATCTTGGCCCTTAACATAGCTTCGATGGCAGTGCCAAAATCACCGGCTTCAGCATCATCGGCGAAGTCGAGGGCGGCCCAACATGTCTGTATACACAATGGGCAAATGTGTACGCAAAGAAACAACACCAAGAGTAAAACAACAAAAAAAAAAAAAAAAAAAAAAGTATTCAAAGAAAACTCAGGGGCGGATCCAGGAATTTTCGCAGGGGGGGGGGGGTTCATCAGCCAAAAAAACCTGAAATGTAGACAGGCTTTTTCCTCCGGACACTTGGTCTCCAAAAATCAATAGGGGGGGGGGGGGGGGGGGGGGAGGGGAGGGGGACGGGGGGGGGGGGGACTCGTACCATACTTTCAATTGGGGTGCTGTTCAAATCCGACGATTATTAACACTATATTACACAATAGTGTACAAAATACCCCCCTAACCAAGCTGGCTCTGTCCGTATTTTGTGCAAAGGCGGACATTAATACCATTTTTTTGGGGGTAGCAGAGCAGGCTGGGCAATAATTACTTTTAATGAATTTCTATGAAAAGGAAAAGAAAATTGACCGAGCTGGTTTTTTTTTTTAACCCCAACCTCCCCCCGGATCCGCGCCTGAAGCTAGAGTTTTGTGCCTGTCACACACAGAACACAGGACACTCCTCATTCATTCCCCCCTAAAAATCGGATTATGAATTCTAAATCTTTTTTTCCAAAAAGAATTTCGAATGGAGCTTGTTGTCTTCGTGTGATATGGCGATTATTCATAACTTCAAAATCCATATAAAACCTCAGGATGATGTCATTATAACTTTATTTATTTTTCACGTATAACACATCCCTGCTTATATGCAAAACTTCAACCCTATCTGGTTAAATTTTAACCCAATCTAGGACTTTGAAAATGCACCTCTATGATGACGTGCATGACCCATGATGACGTCATTTTGAAGGCACTTTTCAATGCACATACAGTGCACATACCGGTACATGTTCTTACCATTTAAACATTCATAAAAATCTACCGATGACGTCAGCATGACGTAAAATACGAGTTTGCATATTTATAACATTATCTAACTTTCCAAGTTTGGAGTCGATTGATTTTGATGACGTCATGATTACGTCACACATTTGTCACATTTCTTTTGCATATGCAAAAGAATTTTGAAATAATCACTCTACGTTTGTGAGTTATGGCGTTATATACAACACATCCCTTTCTGTGTACTTACAATGTAGTTCCCCAAGCCATTGAAAAATGCACGTCACTCATTTGTGATGACGGCCTTTGTTTACGTTAAGTTTGATCAAGATTTGAGAATTCAAAATGTCACAGTCGCTTGTAAAAAAATATGTGCAAAGTCTAGGGGATCCAGCTGGGATAGAAGAAATTGAAAAAAAAGAAAAATCATAAGGCCGAATATAAAAACAAACAAACATGTTTCTCGTCCGGGTTTTCGAAAAAAAGGAGGAAGCGGGGCTTTTTATTTTTTGTTTGTTTCAAGATGGCCGCCATTAAAATTGTCCTGCAATTGTTGGAGTTTCCACTGTTGAAAGACACTTTTAAAATGAAAGATAAGTTGGACAAGAGAACTGAACATATTCACAGTGTCATTTAGACTTGTATTGGTCTACAATTTATTTTCCGATGAATTTGTGGACTTTTCCGGTGTTTTTTTAATGCATTTTTCAAAAATAAAAAATAATAAAAAAAATCCAGGCGGCATCCAAAAAGGAAGCGGACGGGGACGAGAAACATGTTTTTTTTTTTACTTCGCCTAACAAAACAAAGACTTTTTCATACATTTACGGGAAATCCAAAAGGATAAATAAATTAATAAATTTTGTTTTTTAAGTCAAATGGTTGATTGGTTATCGGGTTTAAGTTTCCTATTCAGTTGAAGAATGACTTATGAGAACGTCAGGGTGTTGAAAATGGTGATGTTAGGGTGGCATTGACATTTCTAGTAAATCCATCTTTTCATGATTAATGTTTTGAGACTGCTTTGGTGAAAACAGAATGTTTTCCTCATGTGGGTCATTCTGTAAATTAATGGTCCAAATTGTGGCATTTTTCAGTCCCCTCTACCTCTATTAGGGGAATAAATGTGTGCTCCGGAGGTTTTTATCACTCGTTTAATACCGCTTAGAGTCTGGGTGCTGATAATTACCCGAGCCGGAGGCTCGGGTAATTATCAGCACCCAGACTCTAAGCGGTATTAAACAGAGTGATAAATACCGACCGAGCACATATTTATTCCCATTCATAAATACCTGATCCGTAAAAAAATATCAAATAATTCGTTCAAAAAATCCCGATTTTGTTCAACAAGTTCACTTCATGCTTTTTGAAACATCCCTCTAGCAAAATAATGGAGTGTTCAGCTGGCGAGAAAGATGTAAACAACCCTTTTATGGAGATTGACGCGCGCGTTACATGTTCTGCGCGATGTCACGCAGAACGCATCTGGGGCGTTGCGTTTTGAATTTAGAACTATAAAATTCTGACTCGCTTGTAGTGTTGCGCATGCCTACGTGAGGATAGCTAAACTGTCTGAGGCATTTATGAATTGCTATTCATAAATACCTAAGACAGTTTACGCATTCCTATTGGTCGAGAGCCCGTCACGTGGCCGGTCTTAAACGGATGATAAAGACATGGCTAGCTGGTCTTAAACACTTTTCCAGTGTCACAATAAAATGTGGACTCTTAAAAATCCAGTGCCTCTTATCGTTTCATTGGTTGAACGTTCACAATCCTCACGTAGGCATGCGCAACACCACCAGGGAGTCAGAATTTAAAAATCTAAATTCAAAACGCAACGCGCCAGGTGCGTTCTGCGCGACATCGCGCAGAACATGATACGCGCGCGTCAATCTCCATAAAAGGGTTGTTTACATCTTACTCGCCAGCTGAACACTCCATTATTTTGCAAGAGGGATGTTTCAAAAAGCATAAAGTGAATTTGTTGAACAAAATCGGGATGTTTTGAACGAAATATATGAATTTTTCTTACCGAAAAGGTATTTATGAATGGGAATAAATATGTGCTCCGTCGGTATTTATCACTCTGTTTAAGACCACTTACGAGTCTGGGTGCTGATAATTACCCTCGCCTCCGGCTCGGGTAATTATCAGCACCCAGACTCTAAGTGGTCTTAAACAGAGTGATAAAAACCTCCGAAGCACACATTTATTCCCTTATTTAAGTATAAAAGAATGACTTTAAATGTTGTTTTAAATAATATTTGATGAATTGGTACTTTGTTATTCATAATCACACCAAAATTATAAATTATAGATGCCACATGTAACAGGGACAGGAAAAACGTAGACCCAAGATTTATAGAATGACCCATCACCTTATAGCCACAAGCACTTCCTACTGTTCAAATATTCCAAGTGTTTTAAAGTTAAGAGATTATTTGTTACTGAGTAGAGCATTAATACACTCACGTCTGTTTTAAAAGTGTGGAAGAAAGGCTGGTCATCTGCGACAATGTACTTGAACCGGTGGTACAATTCCTGTTCCCAAAGCTTCATTCCGTTCTAAAACAGAAATTAGAGCAAAACGTGAACGTCAGTTAAATGTTTAGCCAAACAAAGAACAAATCAGAGACATTTTGAAAGATCTGCAGGTCATATGTGCATGTTTCACAGGGCAGAGGGCGTGTCCCACTACTCCCGCATCCCCCTTCCCTTCCCAAAGAAAACGCTAGAAGAAAAAATCAATTTGGTAAAGTATGAGTAAAGTATTACTGATTCATTTTCTGGAGTCCAACTCAGGTCGAGTCCTCATTTCTTCGATTAGTCCAGCTCAGCTAAGAAAACTTGCTTGGTATTCGGACCTTTCTCCCGGGCGAACCCTGAGTTTTTAGGATCAAGGCTTACACATTATAGGAAGACAATTTTCCCAAACTAAGGCTTTTCCCTAGACGATAGACCACAGCGACCTTAAGTTTAGGGCGCAGGTCCGTTTTGGAAGAAATATTCCACCGATTGTGACTGATAGTTAACTCTCTGGTGATTGCACATTAAACATGTAACAAAGCTTGACACCTCAAAACAGAATTGCTGGTACAAGCAAATACATTTATTCAACAATAAATCAATAAATGCACGGTAATTGGCATCAGCAATGTGCAACATCATCAGTAATGTATGCAACAGCATAGGCTAAGCAATGTACAACAGTACAGCTGATCATTAAGTCGTTCGTCCCATTCATTGTTTGGATAGCCGACAGAGGGCGTATTTATTTGTACTGCGCTCACTATGGATACGCACTTTTAGCCAATCAGGAGTACGCGCGTATCACGCGCGCGTTCGATCGATATCAACGCGACTTGTGCACGTAGCTGGATTGTGCATGTTAACAGACGGAAATTCGAAACAAAACCATGTTTTTTACACAAATCTGAACGATCCATATATTCCTAGACAATGCACTAGTAAAATAGGACCTACACAGCTTTCTTTGAAAGTCGGCGAACAAATTGACAACACGGAAAGTGCATTAATTTCCAATAAATGTGAGTGTTTGTCGACCGTTTCATTGTTTCCAGTGACCGTTACCATACATCAGTTGTGCGTATGTCATCATATGATAATTCCATTATACTTCAGGGAGGATAGTATTACCTGAAGTGCGCAAACTTAGGCCTAGCCTACGCCTGATAACAAAAAAACAGGCCCTAGGCCTATGAACAACTTTGAAAATGTTTCACATCGTGGAGCATGCAAGATTATCTAAATTAAACTTTAAATTTAAACTTTTCATCTTGTAGAGCATACATAATTTCTGTTGATTTCTTCTGTTCTGTAGTGTGTCCCATCCCAAGTCATCCAGAAGTTTAGTAACAGTTCCCGTATCCCTTTGGTAGTTTCCTGTGCAAATCTAGCTGCTTGACGTTGAACTCTTTCAAGTGAGTTAATGTTCTGCTTTGTTGAGGGGTCCCATGCGGATGCAGCATATTCTAAGAGTGGTCTCACTAAGCTCAAATAGGCAGTTGTTTTCACTTCACTGTAACAGCTCCACAAATTCCTGCGGATAACATTCTGCACTCTTTGAGCTTTGTTGATGGACTCCTGAACATGGATGTTCCAGCTGAGGGTATTAGATATGTCAACACCAAGGTATTTTTGAGATGAGACGCTGTCCAAAACTTGATTGCAAAACTTGTATTCATGCTGAGGTGGGTTTCTCTTGCCTATGGTCATGGTACAGCACTTGCTTGGATTAAAGTTCATTAACCAAGTGTCTTGCCAGTTTTCTAGGAGTTTAAGGTCATTCTGCAAAATGCTGGTGTCCCCGTCGGTAGGGGCGTAAAGCAAGCAGTCATCTGCAAAAAGCCTGGTCTGGGAGGTGATGTTGTTTGGCAGGTCGTTGATGTATAACAAAAACAAAAGTGGACCAGTGACAGTGCCTTGTGGTACACCAGATGTAACGGCAGCTGGGAGTGATGAATGCCCATTATTTACAACTTGTTGGGTACGCCCCGTCAGGAAATCCTGAACCCATGTTGAGATCTCCCCACTTAATCCATTGTATTGAAGTTTGGAGATAAGACGTACGACGGTGCGGGACTTTGTCGAAGGCCTTGGTAAAGTCAAGCACTGCGACATCAACCATGTTGTTCTTGTTGAGTTCCATGCTAATGTCATGAATTGTGAGGATGAGTTGCGTTTCTGTTGACTTTTTAGCCCGGAATCCATGTTGAAAAATCGGTTAAAATATGCTGGTTCTCCAATGTTTCATCACATGGTTGTGTACAATGTGCTCCAAAGCCTTGCAAACCACTGAAGTGAGTGAAACAGGACGGTAGTTTGCTGCACAAGTACGGCTCCCCTTCTTGAATATTGATGTAATATTTGCTTCCTTCCAATCTTGTGGTACTTCACATGTGTTGATTGAACTTTGGAACAGGTCCTGAAGTGGTGAGGCTTGCTGCTTAGCTCCAAGTTTCAGAAACCAATTTGGAATTCCGTCTGGACCTGGTGCTTTGTTGGGCTTAAGCTGGCTGAGGAGCTTTTCAACTCCCTCTTTGGTGATGATGAGCTGACCAATCTGTTCGTACGGGCTAGCACCAAGTTGGGGCAATTCCCCAGGAGGCTCCTTGGTAAACACACTCTGAAACTGTTCATTCAAGATGTTCGCCTTCTCTGTATCATCGCTGATAATCTTTCCATCTTTCTCAAGGTGTGCAACTCCTGGGTTTTCTTGCCTTAACTTTTTGATAAATGTCCAGAATTGTTTAGGCTCCTCCTTGATGGCAGATCCCAAGGTTTCTCTGATGTATGTAGAGCGAGTTTTTTTGATGAGTTTGTGTGTATTTCTCCTGCATTCACGGAAAACTTCCCAATCAGAAGCCTTTCCTGATTTGATGGCCTTATTGTATAGACGTTGCTTCTTTTTAACAGCCCGTCTCAGTGTCCTATCAGACCAGGGCAAGGTGAAACGGCTAGATGTCATCTTGTGAGGAACACATTTTTCCATGGTTTGGAGAATTGCTGTCTTGATGCAGTCCCATTTTTCTGTTACAGTCTTTCCTTTGTTGGTCTTGAAGTATTCGTCTGTAAAATCTTCCAAGGCTTGTGTGACACCATCAGTGTCAGCTTTGTTGCGCAAGTAGATCTTTCGCTTCACTGGTCGTTTTCTAATCGAGGCAATCCTTAAATCCACTTTCACCGAGCTGTGGTCAGAAATACCCTCAACAACCATGATCTTGTCCACCATGTCAGGATTGTTGGTGAAAACCAAGTCTAAGATGCTCTCGGTGTTTCCCTGTTTTCTTGTGGGTAGATTGACATGTTGAGTGAGCCCATGTTCTTCAACTAGGGTGACCAGTTGTTCTGCAGCTTTAGAGCTGTACCCACTTCTGGTTGACACACTGTTGTCACTCCAATCGATGTTGGGCAAGTTAAAATCTCCAGTCAAAATAATGTTATGAGAGTTGATCTTATTTCCCAGGTTGGCAAATGATTGTCCCAATATTTCGATTGCTTCTTCATTATCCTTGGGTGGGCGGTAGAAAACGCCAATTAGCATAGGTCTACATACTATGAAGCCCGGGAAGGGACAGGATGGACATTTTTTTTGGAGTTTGCTAATTCGTTCGCACGAATTGCTAATTCGTTCGCACGAATTACTAATTCGTTCGCACGAATTGCTAATTCGTTCGCACGAATTACTATTTCGTTCCCACGAATTCCTATTTCGTTCCCACGAATTCCTAATTCGTTCGCACGAATTCCTAATTCGTTCGCACGAATTACTAATTCGTGCGAACGAATTAGCAATTCGTGGGAACGAATTAGTAATTCGTGCGCACGAATTAGTAATTCGTGGGAACGAATTAGGCCTGGTAATTCGTGCGAACGAATTACTAATTTGTTCCCACGAATTAGTAATTCGTGCGAACGAATTACTGGAGTTTGTTAATTCGTTCCCACGAATTAGTAATTCGTTCGCACGAATTGCTAATTCGTGCGAACGAATTAGTAATTCGTGCCAACGAATTAGCAAACTCCAAAAAAAAATTCCACCCTGTCCCTTCCCGGGCTTCATAACATCCCTTTACTTTGGTTTCAGTCCATAATATTTCATAGTCTGAGTTTAGTTCACTGCAGTGAGTTGAAGTTAAGTCCCCTTTCACAGTCTGAAAAACACCCCCTCCAGTAGTAGTAGTCTTCCGATCTTTTCTGAAGACAGCGTAGTTTTCGGAAAAAATCTCAGCACTATTTATGCTTGGTTCAAGCCACGATTCCGTCCCACAAATGAAACCAGGATCGATGGTATCCGACAACACGGCAATGTCACCAGATTTCGATTTAACACTCTAGCAATTAGTCAACACGATCCCGATTCTGTCTCTAAGCTTGGGAGTGGTTTTCTTTGCCCTCGCTTTCCTCTTAGTTTGATCATTAATGGCAGATGACTGGTCATTATTTGGCTTGTTGTTATCTCGAGGAGAACCGACAACTGTCAAGTCTCGAGCAGAACCGACAACCGTCAATTTTCCATCCACAGAATTATCAACGAAAATGTCCCCTTCATTGAAAAATGAGTCCGAAAAGTTTATGGCATCACACAGTGGACAAACCCAGTTGCAGTCACTCGACATGAGAGACGTGTAAGTCACTCGCCATGAGAGACGTATAAGTCAAATCATCAATGTTGCAACACGCAGTATGCAGCCATTTGTCGCACCTGTCACATTGTACTGCATGGTGTTCCCTAAGCACATTTCCATCACACACACAAGGAGCACAACAGTCACAGCAATACCACGGCAATGAGTTGGCAATGATAATTTGAGCCTGTTTTTGTGTAGTCCCAACACAGCTCGGATGAGCAAAATTTTGACAGTCTGCAAATCTGAGTTTATATTTGTGGTTAACCATCCTACTACATGCAATGCAATCTGGCAGGACACGTGATGTGCATGCAGCAGGCCCTGGATTTAAATGTACATCCCCTGCACAGGCGAGTAGGCCAATGACAACAACTCTAGGTTGAGTATAAACACATCTCCTACTTCCGATCAATATGACGTGATCTACAGTTAGACATTTCTTTCTATCTGATTTGAGAAAGTTCCACATGATAGCATTTGTGTCTGGGCTTGGTAGGCGAATGCAATTCGAAGGTACATGTACATGTACATTCTGGTAGTGAAGGTACCCATCATATACGATTTATTCCTCAAAGAGCATGAAGAAAATAAGTCAAAAGTACTTACAGTCTGCGAGTCCCAATTCCCTTGTGAAGTATCACACAATCCTACAATTAATCTGGTGATAACATAGATAAGCACAGCACCGTTGAAATTAAGATGATTCTTTCCACATCCCATTGTAAAATTCGTATGTCAAAGGTGAAGTCTGCTGCGTCACAAAATCCAAGATGGCTTCCTTCAGGTTCAGATTCACAGAATCCACAGAATCCCCGCGAAAATGAAAAGGGCAAGAATGCTGATGTGTTATACACCAAAAAGTTGAAATAAACGCATAGTTTGGGCAATACTGTTAAGAGTTATAGCGCGATGATAAAAAAAATCCAGATGAGAAACGTAGCACAAGATTTTAATCCGCCGATGCGTAGTTCCATATAGCGATGTATTGCACTGGTAAAATGGCATTCCCGTGGCAAAGTTTCAGTAGCCCAATTCGAAGTTAAAAAACATCCAAAATATACGTCCAAAATCTAAAATAAGTTCACAACTAGAGTCACCAAAGTTAAAAGAGCAGTTAGCTCGGTTAAAAGTCATGATGACGGATCTAAAATGAAGAATTTTGTGGATTAAAAAACAAGAATACTCAGCGAAAATAAAAAACACGTCTAAACCACACGCATGCGCACTAACCCGATATGATTCGCAACGCATCAACCATGCAAGCTAGCATCAGCTACGTACAGCTAATTAAAGCCTTACATATGCAACCCTTATATCCAGTGTTGTAGTCGAGACCGGATAGTCCGAGACCGAGACCAAGACCGAGACCTGAAGATTCGAGACCGAGACCGAGACCGAGACCAGCCCCTTCAAGGCGGACCGAGACCGAGACCAATATGGTCCGAGACCGAGACCGAGACCGAGACCGCTGATAATAAATAACAATAGTCGAAATAAAAAAACAAGACACGTTTATAGTTGAAAGTTGTACCCTTTCTATTCACAAAGATTACAGACCAAAATTTTGACCAGTGGCAGTGTTGACAAATTGATACATGACACCTTACTTGAGCAAAAAGTAGTTACACTTAAGAAATATGGGCTTTGACATGTTGTCTGCACCCAATCGTGACATAAGTAAAAAGTTAAAGGCAGATGTTTCATCTGTTATAGGAACTCGGATCCTAAACTCCACAGTCACCCCTTGATTTCAGCTATGACTTCTAACGGATATTTAAAGATGCAATTTTAATTTTACATTGTGCCTTTTTTTTCCTAAAATAAATATAGGACTTAACTTCTAACAAGACTTGTGTACTTGATTTTAAAAAATGGGAGCTAGAAAATGTTGAATTAATTTTAAAATTTCTGTCATAGAATGTGGACTTGTACATGTAGACCCACAAGTTGCGAGGTGGTAGCCAGAATGTGCCAGATATGGATTTTTATTTTTTTCTGAACGGGATTTTAATTTTTGAGGAATAATGGGGTACTTCAAAATGAGCAGCCAGAAAATGGGGTCTCATCATACACTCTCATGGCAACAGCGAGTGGTAACTGGTAAGAGTGTGTGAGTTCAATGCTGGAAAATCAGGTAGGAAAATTTACTTTTTTTCTCAAAATACTGTCCCAAATTAACGAGAACATTGTGTGGAGTCGAAAATATAATTAATATTAATTTGAAGCACCTCATTTATTATCAGAATACACAATGCAAGTGATTACGCCCACAGGGGTGGGCTTAACTACACAATCCCCAAAAATGGCAGGCCCTTATTGCATAAATTGTTACAAGTTTATACTTTGCTTTATGTGCCCGACACAACAGATAAATGCCGAACTTGTTCCAAATCGTTCAGTGACTGGTACTGCTGCAGCTTTACTTTTGGGACTTTCCAACGTGCAGTCGAGTCCAAACCGACCACGATATATAACAAGCTTGATCTACGGGCTAGCAAATGTTTTAACTCAACGGTACTGAACGAAGTGAACACAAAGTAATCGATCGAGCTGTAAAAGCTACATATTGCCGGTCTCGACCCGAGAGCAGCCAAAATATCGAGACCAAAGGGGACCGAGACCGAGACCAAGACCGAGACCACAGCTTCCGAGACTGAGACCGAGACCGAGACCAGCAAAAAGTGGTCTCGAGACCGGTACAACACTGCTTATAGCTATGCCAGAGTAAAGATCACACAACTTAATTGTACAAACTGCGCATAAACATTGCACAAACGAAGAGCAAACGAATTAACCTACTTCCTGTCTACGTCTGCTCACATTCTGCAGTTCAACTCACGCATACAGCGCTCAACGCATCAGGTGACGTCTGCCTGCCATGCATACTTGTCTACGCGCCTAGGCCAACCAATGCCAAGCACGTGCAGCTCCGATGGAAGCTAAGCTCTGCTCAGTCACAATTAATGCATGCAATGAAAATACGTTCAGAATAAGCTGGCCCTAAGTCCTTCCGCCACGGTGTAAGCATTTTTTTCTTCATAATACCAGTTATGCGTCTTCTCTAACAAAAGAGAAGATATAACCGACTAGACTAGCATAAACATACCACAATATCGTAGACTCTGATGAAGTATGAGCGTACGCTGTTGTCCTTGACAAAGCATGCCACACCACAGCATTTCTTGCTCCAGCTGTTGGGAGGCTGGGCCAAAAATACCTGCACCACAGCTGTTGCCAAAGTCTATGTGTAAAAAAATGAAAGGGACAAAATACTTTTTAAATCAGGTAAACTCAAACAATAACCGTTAGTGGCATCAACTATATGCTTTTGCACGTTGCGTCGCATAATAAATTCCATGTTGGTGAACATAAGCTCTGATTTCCCAAACGATTTTCGGTATAGGGAAAAAAACTTTAACTTTTAGGAAAAACTGAGAAAAAAAATAAAAAATCTAAAAATTAATGTGGCCTGACGTTGCGAACTTAGCAAGTTCTTCTTCAGAGGCTAAAACAGAAATGACAGAGGTACATACATTAACATGGGGGGTGCACACAAACATGCAGGGATGAAAGAAGAAACACAAAAGGAGGATTAGGTGGGAAAGGTGTGGAAAGATGCAGGGGAGGGTGGATGAGAGAACAAAGAAACAAAGGGAGATGGCAAACCACAAGGGGTCTGGTATGAACAGGGGAGGGACCAGAAAGGGGAAGGATCAAAGGTCACAGGGAGTGGGAACGGACAAAAGAGTGTGGGAGTGAAGGGGGATTATGCGGGGGGGGGGAACAGTATGGAGGTGGAAAGGGATGAAAGATGGGGAAAGATGGGGAAACACAAACAATGAAGACCAGGTGGATTATCTGTAACAGAAGACAATGGAGGAAGAAAAATATTAATCATTTCCAAGTTGGATGTTGAGACCATGTGGTTGAATAGTTCGAAGACGATTCATCCACACTTTCTCTCTGCTGAGGCGAACTGAGTCCTTGCGATGGCCAAGAGATTCAATGCCCTGCAAAATCATATCAGAAATGGAGTGGTTAGGCAGGTTGAAGTGATGACCAACAGGGGTGTCTAGTTTCTTGGTGTTGACCGTTGACCGGTGGGCATAGAAACGCTTCTTGAGCGTATTCTTAGTCTCACCTACATACTGCACTCCACAGACCCTGCAAGAAATAAGATATATGACATTAGGGGTGTTACAAGTGATGTTACCAATGGTTCTGTGGGTAGTGACAGAAGAGTGGCCAGAAAAGGAGTCAGACTCCTGGATATGAATCTGGCAGACAACACATCTGGAACTGCACTTGAAAGTACCATGCTGGGTGGGAGGGGATGCATCAAAAAAAATAAAACGTCACGCACAGATCTTGAAAAGACCAAAACAAAAACCCAGTTGTTTACTTCTGACGCGGCGGACATTTTGTGGCATACGTATACGTATTTCCAGCCGTAGGCCTTTTTTCCGTCGTTCGTGTGAACACAGCACGTCCGCAGAACGTCCGCAGCATACGATGCACTGGCGGAACATGTGCGACTGGAATTACGATTTTTGAGTCAGTATTTTGATCCCCAAAATTTGTTTTCGAAAGAATAAAATACGATGGTTGTGTTGACGTTTATATTGCAGGGAGTGTCATAGGGGTTCAGCCCAGTATAAAAATTCCCATATTTACACCAGTGATAAATGCCAATGCCAATAAAAATTCTTTTTAAAATACTTTGAACTCTCACAGGTGTTCAGGCTGTACAGAAAATGATGATCAACATGTCACCTTTCATTTTCTTTTAATTTTTTTGTGTGGGTTGACCGATGACTTTTCGAGCAATTCTCACCCAAAGAAGACAACCCCTAAAACAAGTGATGTTTCCCAAAGTGGAAAAGTAGCCATCTTGAAAAAGGATCCCTCCACATCGTGGCTAAATAGCGCCACTTTAATTTCGGACCCAATTCCATCCAAAATGCTAGGAATTGGAAGCCTCAAGTCCAGGCGAGAGGTGCATTGCCAGATCTTTTTAATTTTCCAATTCCATGGCTCTCAGAACTCTCTAATATAGAATAATATGAGTGTTTATGAAACTTTTATTCATCATGAGCTCGGCGGGCGGATTTTTGGCCTGCATGCTTACTGGACGGTAACAACAGCTGGTAATTCTCACGCGATTTTAACATCATTTGCAATAAATTCATAACTCGCGTCTTGTACACCAAATCTGAAATATTTAACCCTCCTATTTCGTATTCGTTCTCATCCATACAATAGATCAAACTGTGCTGACATTTTTTAATCCCCAGCCTATCCATATCCATATCATAATTTCTATCAATGTGACCTTTTCATAATTCTTAAAGAAAAGTGTGCGGTAAGTGTATCAGTGAAAAGGAATGGGAGGGGGTTATGGCCACGCCCCCTCCTATACAGGTTTTTCATGTCTGGCGGGCACCTTCCACCACTGAAAATGTCTGGCAGTGGCCATTCATGATACCTGGGACTAGGCCCAACATTCCAGTAGGTTTCACTGGGTTAACTCACCAGCTGATTTAGCTCAATTTTGGGGCCCCTTTCTCATGGCACTCCTGACCACACCCACCACAGTGTGCCCGGCAGACGTCCATTTCCTTACATTGGTATGCACGTGGATCATCGCTATATGCATGAAATGTGGTTAACTTTCCAGCTAGGCTGACCCCCCACCACTGGCTTCCGGTCTATACACTACCTTTACACTACAAAATTGGACTTTTCAAATACGTTCAATCTGTTTTTCTGCTATTTTAATACTAGTAGAAAAGCAGCCCGTTTTCTGCCTCTTTTCTCCCTCTGTGTGGAGATTGCTATGAATTGATGTGACTCGCGCACGGAACCGCAAAACAGGATGTCGTATTTTCTTCCAAAGTGGGCCCCTACTGCTCACATTATGAAAAAAATCTTAAATAAAACAAAAAGACTTTAAAGTGACTGCAAAAATCATTTTAGAATCGACAATCATTTGCAAAACGGTCATTTTTAAATAGTAAAAATGGTGTCCTAAACCGCACCTCTACCACAGAAAGGCATTTTTGAACAGTTAAAAATGGGGCGAATTGACCGGCAGCCGCTCGTTACTGTTGAGTTGACAGATCATTTTCTCCCTCCCCCCATTTACCTCCTGAATATATCGGTCACTTTACCCTTTAAATTCCCATTATCAACTAAAACAGAACTCACCACGCACTTCCTGCCAAGAAGGTTAACTACTTGGTCATTTTCAGATTTGCTGAGTAGTTTCGAAGGGACATTTACTTCCGCTGGCTTACTTCGTTGCCCCGGAGGATTCGCCATTTTTGACAAATACTCCCACGCATAATATCAGCAGTTACTATAGTAGGTGGCGTCATGTTGATCGAGTTCAAAGTGCTAGACGTGTACAAAGCCAACCAGACATTGTGGAAATTCATAGAATTCAGTGCGGAGACGGGGAATTTATCAGTTGTGGACATGTACATAACATTTTGTCGTACATTATTCCATTCAGATTATTTTTAGCTTCTTAAAAATTCCAGTTCTCAAAGTTCAACTTTGATAATTTCGACTAGTACTGTAAGCAAAAACAAATTTGAGACAAAATGACAAAATACCAAATAATTGCCACGATTGTTACTCAAGCTGGAGAAATTCATATTATTTCACGTCTGAAAATAGTCCGAGTCTGATGGTTACTCGGAGTCATAACTAGCTCTGCAAATCACCTTTTTAAACATTATGTTGGTCATGATCTGGCGATATTAGTTGCCAGATCCAACCTCGTTCCCGTGGGTACGATCTATTGCTGTACCATGTTGGTTCTCACCATGCCTAGCCTTGACCAAGGCGTTGGGCTTATCGATTCGCCGATAAAAAAAAAATGACCGATAAGAAAATCCCTAATCAACTTGGCAAGGCATAATTGCGTGCACATATCGATGCCCGTACGCTGCTAGTGAGAAAGTAACTTGTGCCATACAGCGAGGCTATGCTTGTACGTACGTACACCCACACGCAGAACACAGTAGGCCTACATTTACTGCCTTATTACACCATGCGTACAGTCCGTACTCACGTGTGTGCTTGCTGGTTGTGTTAGTACCGAACCGTTCGTACGGACAAGGGTCGGTGGTACACGCACGTAGCCGCGTTGATTGTGGGTGCAGGGCCCGATTATCTCCCTTCGACAAAAAGCCGAGAGACCGCATTGAACAAGGCTACACCATGCCTTGCGCAATCGTAGCCCCTGGTGTTTTTTTAAATTTAAATATCCCACGATTTGGTAGATTAAGGCCTTAAAGAACTACAGTTGACGTGGTTAATGCGCGACGCGTCGTTTTCAATTTTGAAGAGTCAAATTCAGAATAACTCCTTTCAAAGATTACTTAAGAGATTTCGATGTCGCGTTACTAGAATCTATATGTATACAAGTATTTGTGGCGAAAAACGATGCTTCCAGAATTTCCATCTTGTTCGGGCATCGCGCGGTCTTTTTATATAGAGATCATTTGAACCCACACGTTTGTACGTGACGTAACGGATAACGCGAGCGCTTATATAGGGCTGCTGCAGCCATAGACATAATGTCTAGGGGTGCAGCCTTTAAAACACGCACGCAGTATACTTTGAATTGTCAATCAGCGTCGTTTTCGTATTCTACACAGTCACTTACTTGACAACCTTGAAGGGGCAGCGAAAGATTTGTGCGACTGTATACCTGCCGGAGATCGAGGCACTCCAGTCGAAATCCTCTAGCACCTAATCGTTATACATGTATTCCGATGGGGGTGGGGGAGGGGGTAGGGGAGGGGTTGTCTATATGCGAGGACGTAGCGAGGAGGCAAGGGAAGTCAGTCCAAGACTTCTCACTATACATCTAAGCTCTTGCGATGAGTGGCCTTTCTAGTTCACAGAGTAATCGAAGACAACCCCAGAATGAATTACATGGAGCTCCCGAGCAAAATATTTGTACGGGGGAGACCGTCCACAGCAGTATAGTGGCAATTAGGGCAGCCAAGGCCTCAAAACAGAGCCAACTCGACCGCACTATAAGGAGTCAGCACGTCTGGGGACATCTAAGCCGAGCCGAGACCCCTTGATGAGGTGCTACAACTTGTGCAGAACAGGCCACTTCGCACGTGAATGTCCCAGCCTTAGGAAAGATCATGCAGCATCAGACACCATCACCCGCCAAACGTGGGGCAATGCACCCCGGCGCCGTTCGATCCGAGCACAAAGAAAACCAACGACTGCCCCAGCCAGGGAAACAAGTCTCGAAAAGCCAGCCCTCCATCGTAAGGAGCCAAGCGGTGAAGGGTGAGGGACTATGGCTCTTCTACATAACAACGCATAAACCAAATAGATCTTCAGGAAGGCAGCTAGCAGAGAAGAGCCGCAGGGTGACCATAATGTCTATAATAGGCCATAAAGTTCACTTCACTCTTGACTGAGTGATAGTAGTGAGCATTCTGCCGGAAACAGTCTAGCAAGAGTTAAGAGACATACGACCCCTACAAGATGTTTCAAAATTGCTGAAAGCATGGAGCTAGCTCCATGCTGAAAGTGAATGCAGCCAATGGAGTAGTGCTCCCCATACGTCGGGTATATACGGAGTTAAGACATGGACCTCCTGGCGATGAAGCTTGGCCATGAGGTAGCTGTTTGTGGTTGTGCTAAACTGCGAACCCACAGGACTCTTCGATTGCAACGTCATACACGCGAGGTGTGAACAGCCTTGTTGGGGCATGATGGCTACAACAGGCTGCAATCACTGCAAGAAGATCCAGAGGGGCAAGTACCAGAGCGAGGTCGGTCAAAGTAGCGGGAAAGTCGCCAGAGTCCTGATTACTGCTCGAATTAGCCAAGCGGTGTTTATTGTACAACGGGAGAAGCACCTAGGACTTCCATTGTTAACATAATTCAGGCTGTTCATGTGAAAACTGGAAACCTCCCCGAAATGTTAGAATGGCGGACACTTGTTACAACCTCTGGAGTGCATGGATTTGTGTCTGCCAGGGTCTTCAGTGCATGTGTCGAAGACGTCTGGCTACACTCCACGGACACGAATCGGAATTGCGTCCAGCGCACAAGTCCTTCACAATCCTTCAGCAATGACGTCGAGTGCAAATGCTATCCAGAAGCAGTGGGAGCGGTATCCACCATTGTGATAATCGTGGGGCTCGATTATGCATGGCTTAACAAAACAAATCGGAGTACAGCCTAAGACCTTGAAGACAATGCATCTTCTAAAATCAACTGACACTTTTTGGACGTTTCGCCTCAATCCTCCAAAACCGCCTGGTTGATAAAGGAGGATTGAGGAGGGTTAGGGTTAAAGCCTTTAAAGTCGTGTTGTGATGAATCAATAAGATCCAAGGCTTTTGTATTGTGGTGGTTCAGTACAGAGAGAAGCTTTACAGTCTGAAGTGAGGAAGAGAACTGGCAAAATTGGGAATATTTTCTGCTAAAAAGATATATGAAAAGAACAAACTGCCTTCACTTGAATTTAAATAGAATAACCATTTAAAACTTTGTACAATTGTTTTTTGGCCAAGGTTTTTCCGTCGTTCGTGTGAACACAGCACGTCCGCAGAACGTCCGCAGCATACGATGCACTGGCGGAACATGTGCGACTGGAATTACGATTTTTGAGTCAGTATTTTGATCCCCAAAATTTGTTTTCGAAAGAATAAAATACGATGGTTGTGTTGACGTTTATATTCCAGGGAGTGTCATAGGGGTTCAGCCCAGTATAAAAATTCCCATATTTACACCAGTGATAAATGGCAATGCCAATAAAAATTCTTTTTAAAATACTTTGAACTCTCACAGGTGTTCAGGCTGTACAGAAAATGATGATCAACATGTCACCTTTCATTTTCTTTTAATTTTTTTGTGTGGGTTGACCGATGACTTTTCGAGCAATTCTCACCCAAAGAAGACAACCCCTAAAACAAGTGATGTTTCCCAAAGTGGAAAAGTAGCCATCTTGAAAAAGGATCCCTCCACATCGTGGCTAAATAGCGCCACTTTAATTTCGGACCCAATTCCATCCAAAATGCTAGGAATTGGAAGCCTCAAGTCCAGGCGAGAGGTGCATTGCCAGATCTTTTTAATTTTCCAATTCCATGGCTCTCAGAACTCTCTAATATAGAATAATATGAGTGTTTATGAAACTTTTATTCATCATGAGCTCGGCGGGCGGATTTTTGGCCTGCATGCTTACTGGACGGTAACAACAGCTGGTAATTCTCACGCGATTTTAACATCATTTGCAATAAATTCATAACTCGCGTCTTGTACACCAAATCTGAAATATTTAACCCTCCTATTTCGTATTCGTTCTCATCCATACAATAGATCAAACTGTGCTGACATTTTTTAATCCCCAGCCTATCCATATCCATATCATAATTTCTATCAATGTGACCTTTTCATAATTCTTAAAGAAAAGTGTGCGGTAAGTGTATCAGTGAAAAGGAATGGGAGGGGGTTATGGCCACGCCCCCTCCTATACAGGTTTTTCATGTCTGGCGGGCACCTTCCACCACTGAAAATGTCTGGCAGTGGCCATTCATGATACCTGGGACTAGGCCCAACATTCCAGTAGGTTTCACTGGGTTAACTCACCAGCTGATTTAGCTCAATTTTGGGGCCCCTTTCTCATGGCACTCCTGACCACACCCACCACAGTGTGCCCGGCAGACGTCCATTTCCTTACATTGGTATGCACGTGGATCATCGCTATATGCATGAAATGTGGTTAACTTTCCAGCTAGGCTGACCCCCCACCACTGGCTTCCGGTCTATACACTACCTTTACACTACAAAATTGGACTTTTCAAATACGTTCAATCTGTTTTTCTGCTATTTTAATACTAGTAGAAAAGCAGCCCGTTTTCTGCCTCTTTTCTCCCTCTGTGTGGAGATTGCTATGAATTGATGTGACTCGCGCACGGAACCGCAAAACAGGATGTCGTATTTTCTTCCAAAGTGGGCCCCTACTGCTCACATTATGAAAAAAATCTTAAATAAAACAAAAAGACTTTAAAGTGACTGCAAAAATCATTTTAGAATCGACAATCATTTGCAAAACGGTCATTTTTAAATAGTAAAAATGGTGTCCTAAACCGCACCTCTACCACAGAAAGGCATTTTTGAACAGTTAAAAATGGGGCGAATTGACCGGCAGCCGCTCGTTACTGTTGAGTTGACAGATCATTTTCTCCCTCCCCCCATTTACCTCCTGAATATATCGGTCACTTTACCCTTTAAATTCCCATTATCAACTAAAACAGAACTCACCACGCACTTCCTGCCAAGAAGGTTAACTACTTGGTCATTTTCAGATTTGCTGAGTAGTTTCGAAGGGACATTTACTTCCGCTGGCTTACTTCGTTGCCCCGGAGGATTCGCCATTTTTGACAAATACTCCCACGCATAATATCAGCAGTTACTATAGTAGGTGGCGTCATGTTGATCGAGTTCAAAGTGCTAGACGTGTACAAAGCCAACCAGACATTGTGGAAATTCATAGAATTCAGTGCGGAGACGGGGAATTTATCAGTTGTGGACATGTACATAACATTTTGTCGTACATTATTCCATTCAGATTATTTTTAGCTTCTTAAAAATTCCAGTTCTCAAAGTTCAACTTTGATAATTTCGACTAGTACTGTAAGCAAAAACAAATTTGAGACAAAATGACAAAATACCAAATAATTGCCACGATTGTTACTCAAGCTGGAGAAATTCATATTATTTCACGTCTGAAAATAGTCCGAGTCTGATGGTTACTCGGAGTCATAACTAGCTCTGCAAATCACCTTTTTAAACATTATGTTGGTCATGATCTGGCGATATTAGTTGCCAGATCCAACCTCGTTCCCGTGGGTACGATCTATTGCTGTACCATGTTGGTTCTCACCATGCCTAGCCTTGACCAAGGCGTTGGGCTTATCGATTCGCCGATAAAAAAAAAATGACCGATAAGAAAATCCCTAATCAACTTGGCAAGGCATAATTGCGTGCACATATCGATGCCCGTACGCTGCTAGTGAGAAAGTAACTTGTGCCATACAGCGAGGCTATGCTTGTACGTACGTACACCCACACGCAGAACACAGTAGGCCTACATTTACTGCCTTATTACACCATGCGTACAGTCCGTACTCACGTGTGTGCTTGCTGGTTGTGTTAGTACCGAACCGTTCGTACGGACAAGGGTCGGTGGTACACGCACGTAGCCGCGTTGATTGTGGGTGCAGGGCCCGATTATCTCCCTTCGACAAAAAGCCGAGAGACCGCATTGAACAAGGCTACACCATGCCTTGCGCAATCGTAGCCCCTGGTGTTTTTTTAAATTTAAATATCCCACGATTTGGTAGATTAAGGCCTTAAAGAACTACAGTTGACGTGGTTAATGCGCGACGCGTCGTTTTCAATTTTGAAGAGTCAAATTCAGAATAACTCCTTTCAAAGATTACTTAAGAGATTTCGATGTCGCGTTACTAGAATCTATATGTATACAAGTATTTGTGGCGAAAAACGATGCTTCCAGAATTTCCATCTTGTTCGGGCATCGCGCGGTCTTTTTATATAGAGATCATTTGAACCCACACGTTTGTACGTGACGTAACGGATAACGCGAGCGCTTATATAGGGCTGCTGCAGCCATAGACATAATGTCTAGGGGTGCAGCCTTTAAAACACGCACGCAGTATACTTTGAATTGTCAATCAGCGTCGTTTTCGTATTCTACACAGTCACTTACTTGACAACCTTGAAGGGGCAGCGAAAGATTTGTGCGACTGTATACCTGCCGGAGATCGAGGCACTCCAGTCGAAATCCTCTAGCACCTAATCGTTATACATGTATTCCGATGGGGGTGGGGGAGGGGGTAGGGGAGGGGTTGTCTATATGCGAGGACGTAGCGAGGAGGCAAGGGAAGTCAGTCCAAGACTTCTCACTATACATCTAAGCTCTTGCGATGAGTGGCCTTTCTAGTTCACAGAGTAATCGAAGACAACCCCAGAATGAATTACATGGAGCTCCCGAGCAAAATATTTGTACGGGGGAGACCGTCCACAGCAGTATAGTGGCAATTAGGGCAGCCAAGGCCTCAAAACAGAGCCAACTCGACCGCACTATAAGGAGTCAGCACGTCTGGGGACATCTAAGCCGAGCCGAGACCCCTTGATGAGGTGCTACAACTTGTGCAGAACAGGCCACTTCGCACGTGAATGTCCCAGCCTTAGGAAAGATCATGCAGCATCAGACACCATCACCCGCCAAACGTGGGGCAATGCACCCCGGCGCCGTTCGATCCGAGCACAAAGAAAACCAACGACTGCCCCAGCCAGGGAAACAAGTCTCGAAAAGCCAGCCCTCCATCGTAAGGAGCCAAGCGGTGAAGGGTGAGGGACTATGGCTCTTCTACATAACAACGCATAAACCAAATAGATCTTCAGGAAGGCAGCTAGCAGAGAAGAGCCGCAGGGTGACCATAATGTCTATAATAGGCCATAAAGTTCACTTCACTCTTGACTGAGTGATAGTAGTGAGCATTCTGCCGGAAACAGTCTAGCAAGAGTTAAGAGACATACGACCCCTACAAGATGTTTCAAAATTGCTGAAAGCATGGAGCTAGCTCCATGCTGAAAGTGAATGCAGCCAATGGAGTAGTGCTCCCCATACGTCGGGTATATACGGAGTTAAGACATGGACCTCCTGGCGATGAAGCTTGG